CTCCGATACTTGGGAGCTCTGCTGCACTCAGGCACCCCCGGTTTTTCTGTGACCCTGAGGGTCCTGAGAACACACTGTCCCGCGGGGGTTCTACCCCCTGCTTAGCCACTGGAGTGATGTCCCTCAGTGGTGCCTAGTTCTAAAAGTTCCAATTTTTTGCTCCGTGGCTCAATCACTTGCCAGAAGCGGCCGACGGAGGCCCCCTTCCCCGCTGTCTATCCTCCCGAATATCGCCTCGGATTCACTTCTCCGCACGTCCTACCTTCCAGTAAGTGATCGCTTCTCTGTTCAGAGACTTGTTGCTACTCTCTTCTTCGGTCTCCTGTTGAGTTCGTAGGTGTTCAGAATGGTTTGATCCCTATTCGGCTGAATTCCTGAGACCAGACGAAATCCAGGTCTCCTACTCCTCCGCCATCTTGCTCCGCCCCTCAATGGATCCCTTTCTTACACATGTGAAAATTAACTCTTAAGAATCATAGACCTAAATGTAAGAGCTTTACTGAGGCATACATGGGCTTGTTCTAAGTCTCGCACTACCATTTCTAATTCGGTCACTTGTAGTGGGCAAATCTTGGGGCCTGCAGCTGGATGGAGCCTGCGGCCGGCACGGACAGGCAGCAGAAGCGTCCCAGACGGTACCGGAGGCCACGGCGGCATCGCCCCTCAAATGAATGAGTTTCTTAACATATCCAATTCCATCTGGAAGTGGAAGAAGCTTGAGGAGGTCCTCATAGTTCAGTGTCTCTCTGAGGCTTCCATCCAGCCTGCAGAACACACTGTTTCCCTCCAGCACATCCTTCACATGGCTGTGTATTTCTGGCCCAGCCTCCACAGGGCCTCCTTCACATCCTTGTTTCGCAGACTGTAGATGAGGGGATTGAGCATTGGGATGACCAGCATGTAGAAGACAGAGACCACCTTGCTCTGCTCCATGGATTCAATTGCTTCTGGCTGGGCATACATGACAAAGACAGTCCCAACAAAGAGAGTCACTGCAGCCATGTGGGAGCCACAGGTGGAGAAGACCTTGCGTCTCCCAGCTCCTGAGCGCATCCTCAGGATGGTCACTGTGATGTAGCCATAGGAGACGAGGTCCACAAATGTCACACCTACAATGATGAGCCCACAGATACCAAACAAGAGAAGTTCACTGATGGCCGTGTTGCCACAGGCCAGCTGGCGCAAGGGGGGAACATCACAGAAGAAGTGGTTGATGTGATTGGAGCTGCAGAATGGAAGGCGGAATGTGAAGCTCGTCTCCACAACAGAGTTGAGGCAGCCTCCACAGTAGGTTCCTAGAACCAGGCGAGTGCAGGCAGAATGGCACATGGTGATGGCGTAGCGCAAGGGGCTGCAGATCGCCATGAAGCGATCATAGGCCATGACACCCCTTCAGTGGTGACCAGTAGGGAGAAAAAGAATAACTGGGTGGCACAGCCTGCAAAGGTGATGACCTTGGATGGGGAAAAGAAGTTGACCAGGGCACTGGGGGTGATGACAGATGAGTAGCACAAATCCAGGAAGGAGATATTCTTGAGGAAGAAGTACATTGGGGAGTGCAGGTGGGCATCCAGGGTGATAACCATGATCATGGTGAGGTTCCCCAGCACAGTCATCATGTACAAGGCCAGGAATACAGCAAAGAGCAGGGCCTGGGTCCCCAGGCCACCCTCAAATCCCTCCAGCACAAAATCTTGAAAGTAGACCATGGAGAGGTTTCCATTTCTGTGGGGTGGCATAAGCCTCAGTCCTCACCAGGGGAATTACAGCTCCAGTATTGGCAGACTAAGTAGGTCAAGCTAAACTTCCTACTGAAGTCTGTTAAGAAAAGATAAACAACAAAAACAAAATCTGATTGAAGGTATAGGTAGTTAATGATTTAGTAAAAAATTACTAAACAAAACTCAAGATAAACACAGAGGCCCAGGGATTTCATTACTGAGAGCTTCTTTTTCCCTTGAGACATAAGCCAATTTTGAAGAGGAAGTCTGAGAGGCCAGGTGGCTAAGCAGTAAGATTTTTCCTGTCTTGTAGAGCTAATGCTGACAGTGGTTGGTTACTAGGAACCACCCAGGATGCACCGTAAGAGTGATGTAAATAAGGAGTAGGTAGGCAGCGCAGCTTTTGACCATTTCAATCACTGAAATTGTATTAAGGTGTGATGTGAGTACTAGTGTTTCTGACACCTTGCAAAAATAAACATATCTCAAGAGGAAGACACATTATCCTAGACCTCAGTGTTATCCATAAAAGTTTTGTGTATATAGTGCTAGACACACAATTCAAAAATTGAGGAGTTCCTGCAATATGAATTAAAACTACAGAAATAATAGGAAAACCCAAAGAAGTTTCATATTTTGGAGTTAACACACACACAACTAATGAGTCATTGAACATTATATCAAAAACTAATACTATATGTTGGCTAAATGAATTTAATAAAAAAATTAAAGTTATTATGTTTAAAGGATAAAATATGAGACTAAGGATTTTAGCAGAAATGTGGAAGTAATAGAATAATATGTAACTTTTTAAAAATACAATGACTAAAATTAGGAACTCAGCAAATGAATTTTACAGATTAGAAATAGCTAAAGAGAAAATCTGTGAACTAGAATACAGATCAGTAGAAAATATTCAGAGTGAAGCATTAAGAGAAAAAGGATAGAAAAATCAGAAATGAAGGTTAGAGACTGAAGATATAGAGACATACATAGTATGAATTCCTAAAAAAAAAGGAGGAAAGAGATAAATAGGCTGAATCAGAACTTGAAGAGAAAATGGCCAAGTGTTATCTCAAACCAATCAAAGATATTATTCTACAGATTCATTAACCCTACAAAATCAAAGCAGGATTTATACAAAGAATACCACACTTAGACATATCCGTAAAAATATTTAGAACCAAAATAAAGAGAAGAATATTAAAAGCTCCTGAGAAAGAAGACATAGTCACTTCAGGGGCGCCTGGGTGGCACAGTTAGGCTTCTGACTCTTGGTTTTGGCTCAGGTCGTGATCTCAGGATTGTGAGATTGGGCCCCATGGCGGACATGCCCTCGGCGTGGAGTCTGCTTGAGACTCTTTCTTCCTCTCCCACTGCCCCTCCCCCCAAAATAAATAAATCTTTTTTTTTAAAAGAAGACATAGTTGCTTCAAAGTATCAACTTTAGAAGTAAGACTGACAATTGGCTTATGAGATTAAAAATGATGGAAAACAAAGTAAAAGGAATTATATTTTCCTTTGCTCAAAGAAAACAATTACCAACTAGGATTCTATATCTACCCAAAATATCCTTTAAGACTCAAAGTGAATTTAGCAATAATAGTTTAAGACTTCAATACTCCACTTGCAATAATGAATAGAACAACAAAACTAAATATCAGCAAGGAAATAATGGATTTGAACAACATTATAAACCAAATAGACCTAACAGGCATATGTAGAACACACTGTATCCAACAATAGCAGAATACATTCTTCTCCAGTGCACATGGAACATTATCCTGGATAGACCATATGTTAGTTCACAAAGCAAGTCTCAATAAATTTTAAAAGATTTAAATTATCCTAAGTATGTTCTCCAAACAAAATGAAATGAAATCACAAATCAACAACATAAGGCAATTTGGAAAACTTACAAATATGTGGAAGCTAAACAACACATTTTTTTAAAATAATTTTTTTATTGTTATGTTAATCACCATACATTACATCATTAGTTTTTGATGTAGTGTTCCATGATTCATTGTTTGTGCATAACACCCAGTGCTCCACGCAGAACGTGCCCCCCTCAACACCCATCACCAGGCTAACCCATCCCCCCACCCCCCTCCCCTCTAGAACCCTCAGTCTGTTTTTCAGAGTCCATCGTCTCTAATGGTTCGTCTCCCCCTCCAACTTACCCCCCTTCATTCTTCCCCTCCTGCTATCTTCTTCTTTTTTTTTTTCTTAACATATATTGCATTATTTGTTTCAGAAGTACAGATCTGTGATTCAACAGTCTTGTACAATTCACAGTGCTCACCATAGCACATACCCTCCCCAATGTCTATCACCCAGCCACCCCATCCCTCCCACCCCCCACCACTCCAGCAACCCTCAGTTTGTTTCCTGAGATTAAGAATACCTCATATCAGTGAGGTCATATGATACATGTCTTTCTCTGACTGACTTATTTCATTCAGCATAACACCCTCCAGTTCCATCCACATCGTTACAAATGGCAAGATCTCATTCCTTTTGATGGCTGCATAATATTCCATTGTGTATATATACCACTTGTTCTTTATCCATTCATCTGTCAATGGACATCTTGGCTCTTTCCACAGTTTGGCTATTGTGGACATTGCTGCTATAAACATTGGGGTGCACGTACCCCTTCGGATCCCTACGTTTGTATCTTTGTGGTAAATACCCAGTAGTGCAATTGCTGGATCGTATGGTAGCTCTATTTTCAACTGTTTGAGGAACCTCCATACCGTTTTCCAGAGTGGTTGCACCAGCTTGCATTCCCACCAACAGTGTAGGAGGGTTCCCCTTTCTCCACGTCCCCGCCAACATCTGTCGTTTCCTGACTTGTTAATTTTCGCCATTCTGAGTGGTGTGAGGTGGCATCTCATTGAGGTTTTGATTTGGATTTCCCTGATGCCGAGCGATGTTGAGCACTTTTTCATGTGTCTTAAACAACACATTTTTAAGTCACCAATGGGTAAAAGAAGAAATCACGATGGAAACTATAAAGTATTTTAAGATTAATGAAAATGGGAACACAACGTACCAAAACTTAAGAGATGCAATGAAAGAAGGACTCAGAAATTTATAGCTATAAACACCAACATTAAAAAAAGATCTCAAATCAATAATTTAACTTTCCATCTTAGAAAGTAGAAAAAGAACACAAAACTAAGCTCAAGGTAAATAGAAGGAATGAAATAAAGATTAGAGAAGAGATCAGTGAATTAGAGAAGTGTAAAATAATGCAGAAAATCAATGACACTAAAAGTTGGTTCTTTGAAAAGTTTAACAAACTTGACAAACTTTTAGCTAGATTGACCAAGAAAAAAGTCAGAAGACTTAAATTTCTTAAAATCAGGAATGAAAGCAGAGATGTGACTTCTGACCTTACAGAAATAAAAAGTATTGTAAGAACATATTAGAATAATTGTATGCCACATGTTAGCTAACCTAGAAGAAATGAACAAATTCCTGGAAACACACAAACTAACATAACCAACTCAGGGAGAAATAGAAAATCTGAGAAGATGTATAGCAAACAGATTGAGTCAGTAGTCAAAAAACTTTTCCAACGAAGAAAAGCTGAGGACCAGATGGTTTCACTGGTGACTTTTACCAAATTTTTCAAGAATTAACACCAGTACATCTCAAACTCCAAAAAACAGGATAGGAGAAAACATTTCTAATTCATTTCATAAGGTCTGTATTGTTTTTAACACTAAATTGAGACAAAGATACTGCAAGAAAATGAAGCTACAGATAAATATCTCTTATGAATATAGATACAAAAATCCTTAACAAAATACTAGCAAGCTAAATCCAGAAGACCATTAAAGGGATTATACAGTATAACCAAGTGAGAATTATCCCAGGAATGCAAGGGTGGATCAATATATAAAAATCATTCAATATAATACACCATACAAATGGAATTAAGGGGAAAAAAAATACATGATCATCTCAGTAGATACAGAAAAACTACAAAACATTGCTGAAAGAAATGAAAGAAGACCTACCTAAATGTAAAGGTATCCCATTTTCATGGATTGGAAGACAATAATGTTAAGATGCAGTATTCCCCAAATTTACATACAGATTCAATGCAATCCTTTCAAATTTCCAATTCCCTCCCCCTTTTTTTGTTGGCAGAAATTGACCCTAAATAGCCAAAACAATATTTAAAAAGAACAAAGTAGGGGAACTAACACTTCCTGATTTCAAAAACTTACGAAGAAGCAGAACAGTGTTGTGCTTGCACAAGGATACACATAGACCGATGGAACAGAATCAAGAATCCAGAAATAAAATCACACATCTGCAATTTTCAATGAGGGGACCAAGGGCACCATTCAATAGTAAAAACCAGTCTTGGGTGTTGAGAAAACTGAATATCCACATGCGAAAGAATGCATTAAAAGCTTTTATAACACGTATAAAAATTAACTCAAAATGGACAAAGACCTAAATGCAAGTGCTTAAACTATAAAAATATTAGAGTAGAAAGAGACATCAGTGTAAATTATTGTGACTTGGGATTAGTCAGCAGTTTCTTAAATATGACATCAAAGCACAAACAACAAAATAGAAAAACTAAAAATAAATAGACAAATTGAACTTCATCAAAATTAAAATCTTGTGCATCAAAGGACACTATCAAGAAGATGAAAACAAAACCCATATCATGGGAGAAAATATCGACAAATTATAAATCTAATAAAGAATCTAGAAATATACCGAACTCTTCCAACTCAGCAAGAAAAAGACAGTCAAATTTTTAAAAAATGGTCAAAGGACTTGCATGGACATTTCTCCAAAGAGAATGTACAACTGTCCAATAAGTATAAGAGAAGATGTTCAATGTCATTAGTCATTAGGGAAATGTGGATGAAAACCACTATGGGAATACCACTTTGCTCATTAGAATGGCTACCTTTTTTTTTTTTTTTAAGACAGAGAAGAACAAGTGTTGGTGAGAATTTGGGAAAATTAGAGCCCTCATACAC